CATGAGGCCCACCCAGGTTGTAGGGATGATCTCCTATATTTAAAGTCAACTGACTGTGGATGCGAACCCCATCTACGGGATTCCTTCACAGCAACAACTAGTTTGATTGAATAGCTGGGTACTCAAGCCTAGCCAAGCCGACACATGAAACTCACCACCACAGTAGCCATACCTCACTGATCATGATCTCAAAGAAGGGGAGACAACGTGCCTATGAGACTGTGGATGTAAATAGAGGATGAGATGAGTCTCCCGGGAGGCAAATGGTAGAGAGCCCACAAGGGTTTCCTCCTGCACCACAACTAAAATCCAAAGTCCTTATTGAGGGCTGTAAGGTCCTGTGTGACCTGGCCCTGTCCCCACTCTACCCACAGACTTCATTTCCCACCTCTCTCCCTACATTATCCCACTTCAGCCTCCTTCTGGAACTTTCTTCCCCTGGATATTCACTTTGCTCATTTCTCCAGCTCCTTCAAGTCTTTGCTCAAATAGCTCTTCTCCAGGAGGCCACGATTCTCCCCCTCACTCCCAGTCTCATCTACCCACCCTTCTCTTTGTTTTCCTTTTCCCATTGCACTTATCACCTCCTCTAAAATCTATTCATTTTAGTTTGTTTATTGTTGTTTATTGTCTCCCTTCTCTAGGATGTAGAAGAAGCCTCTGAGGGAATCTTTGCTTTGACGGCTGTTGTATTTCACGCCCCTAGAACAGCGCCTGGCACGTAGTTGAGGCCCAAGAACTGTTTGTTCAGTGAATGGATGAGGAGAGATCAGGGCGGTGCCACTCTGGAACTGATGGTATGGTGAGGGCAGCTCAGCTGAGTGACTGCAGGGCACTGCGCCCATAGACTACAGCATGGAGAAAGGTCCCTGTGTCATGCTACTCAGCAGTCCTTTAAAATAGACGAATTAATGATCAGTGGGTCCAAATTCCACTTCTTTCTCCAAAGAGCAGTAAAGGTTTCATAAAGGACAAGTCCTTTGCTGTCCCCTAAGAGCAGATATTAAACTAGATTGACATTTTTTAAACCATTTTTATCCTTCTGAAAGAAAATACATGTCCAAATTGTTTTTGAGAAGTGATTCTCATTTACCATCTATTATTATATGATCTGAAGAAAGACAGTCGGAAGTGCACATAGGGAATTTAAGAATCTTCTCTATCGTAACCCTTAGTATTTAATTAGTGCCACAGGAGGTGACACTAAACTTTTAAGGTCCAGATATCCCAAGGAGGCTTCTTTCAAAATTGCCAAGATATTTTATGATGACAAGATACAAAACATGACACACTCACCCCTACATGGGTTTGAACTTACTTTCCCAGGATCTCCAAGTCTAATGACCTGCGAACATGCCTAGCATTTGTCCTTATCTTCTCCTCCCAGTGGCCTTTCCTAATACCTACTAATTAAAGGCCTAAAATCTCTGTTCCAGAAAGATTGTTTAGCGACAGCTAATCAAAGAAGATAAGATGGTAAGATTTCAGTTCCTGCATTAAAACATACTAGGTTTTCATAATTCCCTGTTTCCACAATTCCTTTCATCTTTCCATAACCAGAAAAATCTTAGTTCTCATCAAAATTCTTAGAGACCAGTGGTTCTGAAAGTGTGAGATCCTCAGACCAGCAGCATCATTACCACCTGGGGACTTAGAAGTGCACCCCAGACCTACTGAACCGGCACCTGTGGGGTGGAGCCCTGCAGGTGCATGCCCAGGTTTGAGAACAGCAGTTAGAGACCCCTCCCACCACTGAAAAATTTCCCTCTATCTTCTTCATGTCTCCCTAGCAGCTAAGATGTTAAAATATGCATTATGTAATTGTTTTGTGTCAATAGTTGGGCCTCTTATTGCAAATATAAAACTGTATTCTACTGAAAGACATCCCTCCCAGAAGATTCTTCTTGGGCATCTTGCCTCACCCATTAGATAATTTCTATACTACAAAATGTTTAACAACCTTAAATGATCTGGAAGGCCTTTTTCTGCCCTAATGATTTGGGAGGGATACGGGATACTAAACTTAACATATCATTACTACATTACTATGCATATGGCCCTCCTTTGGAAATTTTGCATAAGGTCAAAATTTAGGCTTGTCCAATTTAAGAAGTACTTTCTAGAACCATGTCTAATCGCAAGGAAAACCAAATTAACTCTCACCACAAAGTCATATGGAATCACACTCTTGGAAACATGAATACTTATTAAAGCCTCAGAAAGAATTGTTTGCCTTTGACGCCAGGAGTAACCATGGCCATGAAATTTCTTGGAAATACCTCATTGGTACCGATAACTATAAAACTCTAGAGTAGGTGGTAATAGAAAGCAGAGAAGCATTCATGTCTGCCCTTAGTAGAACATGTGGACCCCAGATCATATGTTAATGATGGAAGATAAATTAGAAGTGATCACCAGAACTCATTCTAAGCCTTGATTTTTTTCCATTTTTCCCTATACTGCATGTATTAGGTTAGTACCAAAATAACAAACATACCTTCTTAAGCCCCTGAGAGGGTTCGACAGTAACACAGACCGTCTTGGTCAGAGATGCCAGTATACCAAAGCTGAGGAAATTATAATGAAAGTATGTCTCATTCGCTACATGTGTTAAATGCTCCTTCCCTTAGTCTGTATTCTTGGACTAAGACCTGGACGTATATTTGTCTCTTTATGAAGCTTCTGAGGTCCAAGAAAATACTATTATTTAAATAGTAACTTACTGATATAGTGTGTGTGTGTGTGTGTGTGTGTGTGTTTCTCTCTGATCAGAATGTGGTCACACTCATTGTTAGTAGTGTGCTGAGAATTTTTAACAACCAGCTCTCCAGATGAAAAAGCCCCAGTTTACAGCATTTTCTAATTTCCATGGTGTAAATATTTTCATCATAACCAGTTTCAAGCTATCAGACATCATTGCATAGAAAGTTTGGAGAAGCAGCACATATTTGGCACTCCCAGATCAGTACAAGCCAACTCCGAGTACATCATTAGAAGGTAGAAAATTCAGAAAGCAGAGGAAAGGCTAAAAAGTGAAGGAAATAAATTCATAATATTGCTATTGAGAAACAAAATAAATTTTAATACTGGATTATATTACCTTCTGCTATTTTGTGTGTGTGTTTTTACATAATTATTATCATTTTGTGTATATAATTTTGTGTTGTGCTTTTGTGCTTGTGAATATCATTTTAATGGTTGCGTGATATTCCATCAAATTGATGTGAGGTCAATTGTTAGCTCTAAGTGTGGACATTTAAATAATATTTCCTGATTTGGTATTCCTATAAATAATACCATATATCGTCGGGTGTGTGTGTGTGTGTGTGTGTGTGTGTGTGTAGGTATAAATCTTCCTTAACGTTTCTGGCTATTTCCATAAGACAGGTCTTAGAATCAAAATATTTCAATGATGGATCTTGAAAAAATATACCCAGATAACATCTAGAACATTTGTACCAAAATATGCTCCTACCAACAGTGTTTAAGATTACCTCCCTCATTATATCTTCACTACTACTGTTTCTTTTTTAAAGTTTTGGATAATTTGATAAGTGTAAAAAATAGTTTTAACATCGCACTTCTTTGCAAGTATGCCGAACATCTTTCAGGTTTATTTCCATGCCCCTTTCTCCTTTTTAACAGTTTCTGTTCACGTCAGGGCTTTATCCAGCTTCTGCTCCCCACTCTCCTTACGTCTCTGGTTTCATCCTTGGTGTCTCTTCCCTAGGCCCCAGGCTCACTGTGCCCAGCCTTGCTGCTTTTCGTGTCATCCAGACACACCGCAGGGCCACGGGTTCTTCCCCCACAGGTCTGCAGGGCTCATTCCTCACTTCTTTCAAGGCTTTTTGCAAATGTCATCTCCAGGACGCTTTCCCTGATCCCCTGTCTTAAGTTGCCACCCCTCAATCCTTACTCGCTGCCTCCCTTCTCTCCATTGCTTTTCTATGTAGCATTTATCTCCATCTGATCTGATGTTGTATATTCTGTTGTTCATCATCTGCTCCCCCACCTAGAGTCTAAGTTCCATAAAGGCAGTCAGTATTTCTAGGGTCTAGAGGAGTGTGTGACACTCAGTGAGTGTTTATTGAATTGGTAAGTATGTTCTGGCCCTGTGTCTAAAGGTTTAGTGTTGTCTTTACAAAAATCATACCCTTTTTAAATAACGAAGATGATAACCATTTGTAATATTTGCGACAAGTGTATCTCTGTATTGTTTTAAAGGTATTATGTTTTTGTACAAGCACAAGGTTTTATGTTACCAAATCTTCTGTTATTTTTTTTTTCTGTCGAATTATACTCACAAAATTCTTATTCATAAAGAGAGGAGATAACCTTTCAGGTACACTTTATTCTAACATTTTTATGGCTTGATTTTTTTACATGTAGCTCAATATATAAATAATTTATTTTATTATATGTGATAAGTGAATATCTGAATTGTTTTATTTCCATGTAACTTACTGTTGGGTTTTTGTTGCTGTTAATGATACTGGCTTTTCTTCTAATCATGCTCCATAATATTTTAAAATTTAACTAGAGTATTTTCCTTTCATGTAAAATCTATAGGAGTCAAATCTCAATGGACTTTTCTTAATTATCTCTTAGATATGTTCATGACAGTATATCTATATTTTAAAAGCACTTTCAAACATAGACTAAATCCACTTGAGTTTGTTTTCGTTATCACTACAAGTTCTGATAAGATACAGAGCAAATAAAAGGAAATAAAATAGGAGGTTGAGTTCCCAGAGGTGGAAATATCAAGCACTGGAGTCAAATCCGCCTCTAGCCATATTTTCCTGAAGCACCTGCCAGGTGTTACTAGAATTGAAGAACTGACCCTTTTATTAATGCTCTGTGCCTTGCCTATACTTGCTGCTTGATAAATTTTTGTGGGTTGAATTGTATCAAACCCTAGGGCATGATGTATTTTCAGGAAAGCATGCCAAGGACCAGCTTACCATATCAATCTCTCTTCTGTCCTCTCCTTCTCTTAGTTGCGGTCCAGCACAGAGCTCCATCCAGACCTGCTCACGGATTGCCTCACTGTGCAGCCTCTGCAGCCGGCCACCTCCCCGAGAGACGCTGCTGCAGAGGGGACTGTGGGCTGCTCCCCTGGGCCCGGGCCTGACCTCTATCCAGGTAAACACAGCCAAGGCAGAGCCAGCCACAGCTACCCTTCTTTAAGGCTTTCACCCTGGTTAAAGGGAATGCTCACACGAACAAAAATTCTCCAAAGATCATCTGTATTTTGCTTTATCCATGGGCTGCAAATCGCTCTCCACCCCTTCTGATTCTTTACCTGGGTTTGGCAACAGACTGTTTTTTTCTCATAAAGAAACAAAGTAAAAAAAAAAAAAATGCATTCGCTGTTTAGTTCTGGACTTCTGCCAGAAGGTTCAATGCACCCAACCCTCTCCATTACCTTAAATTTACTAACTTGATTTAGACTCCAAGGAAAGGTTTCCCCTCCAGCAGATAACACTCTGCATGTGGATTTCTTAATGGAATAGTCATTGTCATCTTTGTCTTGTAAAAGGAAGCCCCAGGTCTCTGAGAAAATTTTCACATAGGTCAACCAATTTGTAAAAATGTTCATTAACGTTTGCCAACCATTGGAGGAAGGGAGATGGGATGGCACTCCCAGACCACCTTCCTTTTGCCTGGGTTTGAGTAATAGATGACTTTGTGTTTGGGAAATTACATGTATGTAGTAAAAAAATAAGAAAACTAAGAAAGGATTATTATGCAGTAAGAAAGTTACTTTTACTTTCTCTTGCCTGGATTCTTATGCACTTTCTATAATGGTGATGTACTTATGCAAATATAATTAACTATCATCCTTACATATGGAAAGCTCTTCCTGTCATCCTGGGAACATGAACACAAAAGTTTCACCAGGTCCACATTTCTGACAATGAAAATTGTCTATTTTCTCTGGGTTGCAAATCCCACTCTCACCCCCATCTGATTCTAGAGCCAGGTTTGGCAGCTATTTTTTCTTTTGAAAAATGCTAATAAACTATTGAGAATTAAGAATTTACAGATGCCTTACAGTGGAATAGGAAAAAGACATGCTTGTATAACTTTTTAAACTTGATAGTTCTCAGCTGATCCAAATGCAAGGGTGAAAGGCATTAGGCAAGTATTTCAGAAGTGTCAGTCATCAAGATATCCTTAATGGTAGACGGGTGTCAATGGACCTTTATCAGAACTTTGAGGATTTACTGTTAGAGACAACATAGCCTCTGCCTTTTGAGACCCAGAGAGATGAGCTTAAAACTTATTTGAATGGCTGACCAATCTTACAGAGTTTTCAGATGCAGATGTATATACACATATGAGATACCCCATTGTACAGTGTCACCAACACATACAGACGTATTTTGTATCAAATATGTACTTGAAAAAGCATGACTGGCTTTTGTTTGTGTATGTCTATTTGATTTGTCAGATATTTCATGTATGAACTTTTTATTCCAGCACATGAAATTAACAATCAGTTTAAAACAGGCTACAAAGCATTCCCTTATTTCTTCAGTCCATAAACCTATGGTTTTACTGAAGACCTGAAATCCAATAGTTAAAGGCCAAAGCTAACCAGAAATGATTGAGAAATGGCCCAGCACCCAATATAAATAGTGTCTAGCGAGGGGTTAGTCTTGCCACATTTAAACCTCTTGGAAATTGGTTTGCGAAGCAACGATACCTGTATCTATGGAAAACATTAGCATCTTTGCATACAGCATGTGACTCATGTTCCAAATTATTACATTCATTTTGGTGTGTGTGTTTGTACGTCTGGCAGTGTTTTTGAAGTTTTAGAGTTTTAAACTTTGAATGGTTTGGTTGAAATGGTATTGTCATTCCCAATAGATATCCACTTTTTGTTCGTGACACTTTTTCATATTTGTTCCTCGAAAAGATTTTGAGCTCTTGGATTTGATCCTCCAGCTGTGGTGGGTGAACCACCGTAACAGGTGAGGAAGCCTAAGTTTCCACAGCCATCAGTAGGGCATCTTCAGGTCGAACCCCATTTTCTGTGGCTCTGACAACATTTGAAACAGGCAGAAGGCCATCTTGCTCAGCTTTGTTCCTGGAATTTTACTTCTCCAGGTAGCTTATAAGTGTGACAGTTTATCCTCCCTACTTCTTTCCTTATCCCTCCTTCCCCTCCCTTAGGTCCTATTTTACTTTCTGAGTTCCTACCTTTTTTTTTTTTTTTTTTTTGAGACAGAGTCTCGCTTTGTTGCCCAGGCTAGAGTGAGTGCCATGGCATCAGCCTAGCTCACGGCAACCTCAAACTCCTGGCTCAAGCAATCCTGCTGCCTCAGCCTCCCAAGTAGCTGGGACTACAGGCATGCGCCACCATGCCTGGCTAATTTTTTCTATATTTATTAGTTGGCCAATTAATTTCTTTCTATTTATAGTAGAGACGGGGTTTCGCTCTTGCTCAGGCTGGTTTCGAACTCCTGACCTCGAGCAATCCGCCCGCCTCAGCCTCCCAGAGTGCTAGGATTACAGGTGTGAGCCACTGCACCCAACTGAGTTCCTGCCTTTTTAATAAAAATTAATTATGCCTTTTTTTTTTTTTTTTTGCTGGATAAGCAACAAACCAGAGTCAGGACCAGACAGGAGGAACAATTACAAAACAAAAATGATAAGTTTTCTGTTAAAAGTTCTGGAAATGCAGTTGTCGAGTGTGCATGTTCACACCGGCTGCAGACCTGCCCTGTAGATCTATGGAAAGACGCCAAACTGTAAAAAATGCCAAAGGTGCAAAAGGAAACTTCATCAATTAGGTAAATGTAAAATCTGAAGTGTTAAGGCAATTTGACAAAGATTAAGACTTGGCTAAATGGCAAAAGTACTTGGAGTTATTCCCTTTACCTTCTATTATACAATATCAAGAAAATATTTATTTAATGATTGTCAAGCACTTATGCGTTTAAATGCCAGTAAGTTAATTTATCACAAAAAACGTTTTGATGGAAACCTGTTGAGTATGCAGGGTGTAGGATAGGAAGCAGTTAAAGTTGGCATTAAACACTACTATCTTTCAGAAGCCATGACAATGAAGGACTCATGGTCTGAAGAAGTCATGGTTTTGCAAAGGAAATTTTTAATGGCTAGTAGAAGATGATTTGTAAGATTCCGAGAGACGGATAGTTTGCACAGCATTAAGGTGAAGAGGGAAGATGGCAGTTGTGACATACACAATTCTTACAAGTCTCCTGAAATGCTGGCTTCCTTTATTGAAACAAATTTCTCAGGTTGATAAGACAGAGCTTGATTGGAAAGGATTGCCCACAAAGACTTTTATTTCTGTGGAAGAAAATAGCATCCCAGGTTAAAGCAGCCAAACATCACTCGAGGCCACACTGAGGATGATTTTAAATTGAGGTGTTTACTTCTCTACTATTCTGAAAATCCCAGGGCTCCCCAGTCCTGCTCCTGAGCTAACCTAAGAGCAGTGTTGTGATCTAATGGGAAGGCCAGGCAGTGACGAGCAAGCCTCAAGGATGGTTCACTTAAATTTTCTGCCCTTTTCTTCAGAGGGTCTATGCCCCAGATAGATAATACTGCAGAGCACCAGCCTGTAAATTTAGGTGATTTATTGGATAATCTGAGAGGGACTGTTTCATAGCCAGTAGATCAAGGGGTGAATGCCACTTTCATGCCTTAGTACTTGTACAGGTCTTCTGGTTTGCTCCTATGATGAACTAACTGGTGGAGTGCGTAAGCCTGCAATTTAGTAAGTCAGACTGCAACACCATGGACAGCCTGGACCAGTGTGTGGTCTTGGCAGGGGGTCCATTTACTAATAAAGATCACTCTATGGAAGATGATCTGTCCTGTGGGTGATCACAAAAATTATGGCTCCCTCCAAACCGAAGCTGTGCTATGAAGTCAGTAAAACATGACTTTAGCAAATGACCTAAGCCATGAAGACATTGAGGAGGCCATTGTGGTTGAGAGGTTTGAGTCCCACAGAAACCACCCATCAGGGAAGAGCTAACACAGCTAGAACAAAGGGAATCTGCAAGAATAAGGGAGTTTTATCGGTACCACTCCTATTGGATTACAAAATGGTTGTGTGTTTCGAGCTTACAAGTCCTATTGAATTTTCCGAATTTAGAATGTGACCTTAGATTTTTCAGAGAAAAATAGGTGTTTTGTTCAGATATGTAAGTGTAAAAGGAAAATAAAGACTTTTTTCTAGAACAGGAATTTTTGAAGTCATGTTGTCATTTCCTCTGCTCCACCCTCATTACTGAGGGGTGAGGGCTTCTTTCTCACAATATCATTATTTTTTTTTGTAATAAATAGCCCCATATTAAATCTATACAGAATTTAACATACTTTGTGAAATAGTTAATGTTTCATTTCAATGTACTTTTATGGTATATGTTTTCATGCATCTTTCTACATTCTTGAGTATATTTGCTGCCGTCGGACAGCTTGCAGAGTTGTAAGTGTTAGAAATAATTTTCTATAAAAGGGCTTCATATAGTCTGTTCTCAAAAAGTGGTTGTTAATTTAGAGACTTTATTAGAGGGTTCTAAATTGACACACAAATTTCCCAGTAGGTTAAATTTTATAGGGGAGTTGTGAAGATTAAACAACATGATCTATATAAAAGTCTTTAAAAAGACAGAGAATTATAAAACTCGTAGTTTTTACTTGCATTAACTTCAGAAGCACTGCTTTGCTTGGAATTCGTGAAGGTGAAAAAACAACAGAACAACTTGGAAATGGGTGGTGGACAGAAGAAGGTGGAGATTCAGGGTACAAAAGGGATTTAAAGGGAAACACTTGGCAATAACCTCTCTGTGACATCTTTTCTGATGTTGCCTTGAACTGCTGTCAAAATCTTACATTGTTTTTGTAACATCTCTTGCGTCTGTGGTTTATCCACCAAGGTGGATTAGAGGCTCAGTGAGGGTAAAGCAAGCCTCATCCTTCTCTGTTGAAGGCACTGATAGCTTTAACCTGTCAACTGAGCCTCCCTCCTCCTGAGCCAATCCTTCAGCGGGCATCAAATCACTTGGAAGGCTTGTGAAAATACAGTTTCCTGGTCCTTCTGCTCCCCCGTTTCCCCTCCCTGAGTTTCTGATTCAGTAGGTCTGAGTAAGTCCAAA